AGGTGGTCGCCAGGCTGCACATCACTTGCCTTGCAGGGGCCGCCTCCCCGCCCGTGGCTGCCGCGCGGTGCCTCGCCCCACCGTGCTCTGGCCACCTCCCCTCAGGGGACTGTCGCGCTGTGCCTCGCTTCACCGTGCTCCGGCCACTGTGCCTCAGGCGGTCACCAGGCTGCACCTCACCTTGTCTTGCCTGTGGCCACCTCCCCTCAGGTGGCTGCCACGCTGTGTCTCACCTTGTCTTGCTGAGGGCCACCATGCCTCAGGTGGCTGCTACCGTGCATCTCACCTCCTGTCACTGTGGCCACCATGCCTCAGGTGCTCACGAGGCTGTGCCTCACCTCAGTGTCTATGGGCCACCACTCTTCATGTGGCTGCAGGTGTGTGCGTTGCTTCGCCTTGTTGTGGCCACCATCCCTGAGGTGGCCACCACACGTCAACTCACTTTGCCATGGGCCACCACCCCTTGGGGCTGCCACACTGTGCTTCACTTTGTCTCACCGTGGACGCTGCACCTCTGGTGGTCACTGAGCTACCCTTCACCTCACCTTGCTGTGGCTCCCTCCCCTCACGTTGTTGCCACACTGTGCGTCACCTCCTCATGCTCTGGCCACCGTGCCACCACCCTGTGTTTCACCTCACCATGCAATGACCACAATGTATGAGGTCGCCACCATACCATGCCTTACCTCACCTTGCAATGGCCACCATGCCTCAGGTGGTTGCCATGCTGTGTCTCACCTTGCCTCACTATGGTCAACGCGTCTTAGGTGACCGCCATACTGTGCTTTGCCTTGCCTCGGTATGGCCACCACACCTCATGTGGCTGTCACACTTTGTCTCACCTCACCTCAGGTCATGGAGGCCACTGCACCTCAGATGGCTGCTATGTGATGGCTCACCTCACCTCACCATGGGCAGCTTTCACACTACCCCTCACTTTGCCATAGGCCACCATGCCTCTGGTGGGCCACTGCATCTCACTATGGGCCACCATGGTGGCTCAGGCGGCCAGCATGCCGTGCCTGTAACAGGCTACTGCAACCCAGGTAGCCTCCTTGCCTCCCTTACGCTAGCTGGGTTGCAGGGTGCCATGGCCCCCTCTGTGTGTCCTCTCTCCCCCTGGGGACATGGTGCACACCTCCAGTCACTGGTGGGTGAAAATGGTCACGTCTGGAGCCAGGCAGCGGGGTCTCCTGCAGAACGGCCAACCCCAGCCCCACTCCCTGCTCCCTGCCTTTAGCTGAGCATGGAGCCTCCCCACAGCCACATATCCACCACCATGCGAAAGGGGAAGTGTGATTTTGGAAGTTTGGCCGGTTTTGGTGAAGATAAACCCTTGCGGTTCCCCTGGACTGGTTCGTCGCTGCCTGCAAGGTCTCTGTTTGAGGCTGGTCTCTGCCACCCGTCTCTGTGCACCGCAGGGCTGTGACCCTAGCAGGTGCAAGCTTTGAAACCGGGTTATCTGTTCAAATATTCTGCAAGCCCTCCTGCTAAAAGGCACCCCATGCACACTCACTGGCATATTTTTAGTCACTCAGTTTGAAGGATGTCAGGAAGAGAAACCAGCTATAAACCAATCAGTCACCATCACTGTGTGGGGATGCATTTTGATGTCAGATCTCTATTTAAAATCTGAAGTATTAGCGGAGTTAGAACAGACAGTCCACATTCTCTGTTTAGTTATTTAAGTCCTGTTTTCAGAAGCCTTGTTTTCTCTAACCAGGTTTCCAAAAGATGGACTCTATTCAAGTGTTTGGGGATAGGATTTGGCATGTTGAGTGGCACAACTGATTTACTGTCCTGCTATGTTATTTCTGGTACAGATTCAATAAAAGCAGACATATATACTGCATACTCAGCTAACTATTTTTTTTCCAGAGTTTAAAGTAAGAATGTGATTATGCAAGACAGCAAGGACACATTTTAATGTTCTCTGTTGGGAGTTTCTAGAAACTCTGGCTGAGGATGGGCACCAGCCCATTGCCACCTTTACCGAGAAAAGAACATAATATTCGGAACTGAGAGGCCGTTTTGACCCTGACCCTCCCTTTAGACCACTCTTATCTCTAATTGGCTTTACAGTGTAAATAAGTGGACTGTAAAAGCAAGAACAAAAGTAGTCTCTGTGCAGATAAGTCAAGTATATTCAAGTAGGAAGTGCAATACCATTAGCAAAATTTTATTATCTTTCTCTATTACTGAACCCAGTAACAACTATTGTGCAAGAATGACTTTTATTCTGGTCAGCAAAAATATTTTTCCATCTTGCTGCAATCAGGGGCTAGGACACATACTGTCAAATTCAGACCCTCCTTCAACCTACACGCTTATCTCATGGACAGACACTCCAAAACGTGTCCAGCTCTGCAAAATGTAGCAGAGGATGTGGAACAGGATACTTGTACATTTTTTTTCTCACCAAATGCAAAGGGAGGGAGGAGATACCTGCTAATACGTTGCAGCTTCCTGCTCACAACAGAACTCTTTGCCAACCCTTAAGCAGAGTAAATCATGCCAGTACCACCAACATCGACAGTGTACAAAAACACAATTTATTGCAGAGGAAGCTGAACAGGTCACACTGGAGTGCACACCTTGACTTCTAGTTACTTTTCAGTTCTGAGTGATCTATGTTTTGCCTAAAACCTATAAGATACAAAATGGGAAAGTGAATGGACAGATGCCCAAATGCAAGACGTGGCTCTGGCCACACAGCACATCCAGCAACAGATCAGCTTCTGAGGAAGTCGCTGCTCTTGTGAAATCACCAGTCTCTGCATTTTTTGGCTTTCAGGACTGACCAAATTGCCTGTTTCTGTGGGTTTATGTTTGAAATATGCCACGTGCTTCACCTAGTGACTAATTCGCTTAAGTGGTAAGGTCAGGCTTATTTTTGTCTTAGAGAACAGCAATATTTCCTAAGGCTGCAGACTCCTCAGACTGCCAAAATAGCAATGTTCTGCTTCAAAAGTTGCTTATCCCAGGACCCTGGGAAGCTGGATTGAGTACAGCTACTGTCGTTAGAAAACAGTCTCATTGTGTGAAGCATCAGTACTGTGAAGGCAAGACAGGAGGCTGCCCTCGTCCTGCCCCAGACAGCAGTCAGAGCCCAGTCCTCAGCCCTCTGTTCCTTGCCTGTATCATTTTGTGTTTCTGTTCTTTCCTTCTCTACCTTTTCCAGGGAAGCAATATCTAGGACCAAGTCCTCCTCTTGCAAAATGTAATTCTATGTGCACTTCTGAGAGCTTTGAACTGATAATTACTACTTATTGATAGCATAACATTTTGTTCGTGATTGGCCCAGGTCTTCAAGTGGCAAGGTATTCTCAAATCCTTTCAAAGTCTCTGAAATAGAGAGGAGTGCATGAGTTCAATCCATTCCTCCAGGGATACCTGTCCTGGTACAAGAAGAATTGAGCCTCTACAGATTTTATGGAAATAGCAAGCAAAGCTACAGGTTTCTTTTGTAAATTGCTGGTTTTAATATTTGATATTAATACAGAAGAGCAGGAAGCAGTGCTGTCAATTCACGATATTCTTCCGAAAATGAAGCATGAAGCATGAAATGGCAATCATCTTACTCTATTCTCATCGTCAATTCCATATTTGGTCCTTTTATGCTATTGCTGCATTATATATATGTATATGTATATGTATATGTATATGTATATGTATATGTATATGTATATGTATATAAGGTGCTGTAGAAATGGCAAACAAGGGAGTCAGCCTGTTAATGTTGCATTTCACAATCCAGCCAAAATTGCTAATAGAACCAGGGAACCATTGCTTCAGCTTTCTTCACTTTTTGAAACAAGCTTTATTTATTTCAGTGGGGCATAAGGGATTTGAAAGTAGAATTTGAGCTAGGAGGAGTTTCATTTGAATTACACCAGCACTTGACTTTACATACATATGTAAAGTACTCTCTTTTAGATCTTCATCAGTATTAGGCAGAACACATCCTGAATTATCTTATAGTTGCCTCTCCTACTATTATTCACCTGCCTCCTTCCCTCTTCCTTATTTCTCTTTTGCATGCTGAATTGCTCAGAATTTAGGAATCCACAGAGATCCAACATAATATTAGTCAACAAATGTAATTTATTCTTTTAAGTTTAATTAATTTCAGACTTAGCTTAACTTTGATGATTTCCTTGTTTGGAATTTCCAAGGCCAGTTCACATTTGGTCTGTTTTGTTTATTCAGTGCATGTGGTTACCTTGGTTAGCTTAGTTCTGACGTGTCTTTTCTCACAGGGTAAATAATATTCTTTTTTTTTTCCCAAAGCAATGTTAGGTAGTATTACTGTTAACATGAATTATGAATTTTATCTTCAGTGCAATACTTGGAATAGCTGCTTTTTTCATTGTATGGTTTAGTCGATTTTGCATTGTCACTAAATATTGACTAAGTAAAAAAGGAAAAGCTATGCATTTTTTCAAGAATCTGTGCTGAGAAAGATTCTCTTCCTTGTAATACGAGTACATTTGCATACTGAAACTGAGTTTGCAATTTTAGATTTTAGTTCTACTTTGTTTTGTTTTGTTTTTATGCACTGTCTAGTCTAAAGGTTGGTGACTCTGCATTCCTTTTTTGGTGATATTCACAACCAAAGGAAATGTCCTAGCCAAAAACAGGCTCCTTTGAGAACCTGGAGGGGAAATCCAAATCACCGAAAAAAAAGAGCTATTAATTGCAGAAAGTGTGCAAATAGTGTAATTGAGTGAAGAGAACAGTGACCCAAATTCATGAATGCACCAGGAGAAGTCACATAGTTACTATAGTAAAATATTCATAATACTTGCTCTGTGTAGGATGTGAAAGAGAAAAAGAGAGAGAGGGAGGGAGAGAAGAAAAGGAAAGAGGGAAAGGAGCAAAAATAAAAAAGAAAGAGGAAGAAGGAATAAAGAGAGAAAGAGAAAGAAAAAGAAAGGAAGAAAGTAAGGAAAAGAACAATTTTTCAGCCTTTCTCCATATAGTAATAAAAAATTGCTAAACAAATCTGGAAACTGTGATTGTTTATCTAAAATATTTTTTCAATTGCTCCGTATTTCAATTTTTCATTTTTTTCATATTTCTTTTCAAATGTGATAGTCTGTGATATAGTAGCAAGGGTACGGGCAAGATGATGTCTCCATGAAGTAATTACAAAGAAAGGGTCTTTACCAATATCAATCTCCCCTTTTCCTTCATAACTGGTAGGGTTCATCTGTAGAATGATGTGTTTTGCAGCAAGCTGAAGCAGGGTGGTGCCTGGGGACTGTTTGCTGGTATATTTGTGCCCTGGATGCACACAAGGAGTATGCAACATGGAAGTACTTCTGGACAGAGAGCTTTGCCCACAGGCAGTTCAGAATAGTGTCATTTTATCACTTGGCAGCATCCAACAGAGTAAAGAAGGCACAAAGGTGTCTTAAAAACTACGGTAGGTGTAGCAGTGCTCCTTGTTTCATTTTCTGGCACTGCTATCTGTGAAGGCCAAAAGCCAGTGTGAGTAAAACGGGTCAGCGCTTGGGCAAAAGAAGAGCCTTGTGCGTGTGATGAGAGATAATGTGGGTGACAAGATGCAGACAGATTGCGAGGATAACACTGTGGGTAGGAGAGCGAGGGCGGTGGGTTGAAAAGATGTCAGCCCAATGAAGACAAGGGCACGGTATCAAGTCAGATGAGAGAGGTAGCATTGATAAGCCTGGAGAGACGGCCGGTAACACTCAGCAAGGACAAGACTGTTATCACCCCTCGGGGATGTGTCAGTCGCAACCATCAGTGACATGTCCCTAGGCTCTGGCAAAAGTGTCATGTGGCCTCGCTGGATTCTCACTAATGAATCAGATGCACATGCCCAGGGAGATACTTGGGAAACACAGGAGCTGTGTGCAGCACCCGGCCATCTCTGACCTTGCAGAGGCCCTCGAAGCAAGTTAACGCTTTCCAACGTGGGCCTAGCACATTACCATCAGAAGACTCAGGCTCCAGCTAACTGGAGTTAGA